TCACAGACTTTTTTTTGAAGAACCACAGCAATTTACCCAGAGAACACAAGGATCTTCGCACCACCCCACTGATTAACGTCCAAATAGTGGCAGCTCTGGAATCTAGATTTCATACCAGGGAGCTTTTAAAAAATGCCCATGCCCAGGCCCTGCTGCTGACCAGTTACATCAGAATCTCTGGGGATGAGACGTGGGCCTGGGCATTATTTTCAAACTCCTCAGGTGATCCTAATGTGTGGACAGGGCTGAGAAACCCTGGACTGTGCCATGTTCCATCCTCTGCAAAGATTTTCACTAGAAGTCCCTACCTTTAAGGGAAAACATTGTGGTTATTTCTCTAGTTACCAGGCATTTTCCTAAAGAGAAGATTATAGGCCTGGATGTCTAAAAGATTTTATATGTTTCTTTTTAAATTACAGATCTTTCTTGATGTAACAGCTGACCTGAACTGTAACCTGTTCTCCAGAGAGCTGAGGGAACACATAACCACTCTCTGTCCCAATGTCAAAAAAATGGAAGGTGTCAATGGAATTGAGAAGGTGTGCGGTGACTTCAGAGATATTGAGAAAATACATGAATACTTGAGTGCGCAACTGCTGGAAAGTGAGCAGATATATGAACCTTCCCCTTTAACGATAGAGAAGGAGCCCCTCAGTCAGCAGGACCGGGATAGCTGCATTTCCCCTGAACCAAAAACCAGGAAAGAATTAAGAAGCAAACGTTTTGAAGTTCCTTTACCTTTCCTTGAATATTTCAGACACACTTGTCCTGGTAGAATAAAAGTGATAGAGAAAAAATTTGGCATAAACATCAAAATTCAGGCGAGTTCTCTGAATATGGTTTCTTTAGAGTTTACCTCAAGTCAATCAGGAGACCTGGAAGCGGCTTATGAGTCTTTTGCCTGTGAATTTCAGAAGAACACGGAGTCTCTGAAGCAGGAGAACATCCCTTTAGCAGACAGCAAGCAGGCAAATGAAATCAAACAGGAGTTAAACCACCGGTTTAAAAAGCTCCTTATAAAGGAGGAAGGAAGGGCATTCACTCTCCTTGGGCCCCAAGATGATATTTCAGCTGTCAAACATTTTCTTGCCTCCAAAATTTCTGAAAGACCTGTCAAGACACCTGTGAAAATATCAGCTCCCAATGGCACAATGAATGGAATTGAGGTTGACACTGCTCACTACAAGCTTTTAGAAGCTGAATTACAGCAGGAAGTATCAGCGATAGAGAGAAAGTACAACACTTGCAGCAGGGTTTTTGAAAAAACTAAGAATGCTCAGAAAACCTGCATTCTGTTTGAATCCAAGGACAAGGACGTTGATCTGTCTATGCATGCCTGTGCAAGTTTCATTGATGCCTATCAACGTGTCTCATGTCAGCTGATGAAAGCAGTTCTTGCGCTGCAACTTTTGGGCAAGGATAAAAAGCACTTCTATGGGACTAAGTTTGCTGATGACTTTAGAAAAAAGCATCCAGATATACATATGATGTTAACTCAAGAGTCAGTGATTCTGACTGGTTTGCCAGATCACCTTGCAAAGGCAAGGCAGAGTTTCTTAAAGAGAGGGGGAATGCCTCTGTTGGTTGGAGAGAAATGGAATGAAGATCATGAGACACCCATGGACATTGACAGTAATGATGCAAAAACAGTTTCATCACCATCCAATGGCTCTGCCAGTTCTGGGGCCTCAGGAGTAGATGAGAAGGAAAAGGACATGTGTGCCATCTGTATGGACACCATTACTAACAAAAAAGTGCTACCAAATTGCAAGCATGAATTCTGTGCCTCTTGTATCAACAAAGCCATGTCACATAAGCCAGTCTGTCCTGTGTGCCTGACCTACTATGGTGTCCAGATAGGGAATCAGCCAGATGGAACCATGTCTACCAGTCAGTTGCCAACAAGTCTTCCAGGTTATAGTTCCTGTGGCACCATTGTGATTACTTATCATATGAGAGGAGGTATACAAACTGTAAGTATTTCTCAATTCCATGGGTGTCACAATTACCAGAGCAAAAGAGACTGTCCTGTTGCCTATTTAGACAGTATTTCCCAGGGAATTCTTCTGAAGGCCACACACAAGGCTTGAAATAGTGGTAAAGGTCATAATGGTTGCTTATAAAGGAGATCTGGCAACTCAATGCCTAAGGTATATGACTACTTACTGGAGGTAGGTGGTTCAAACCCACCAGCTGCTCCGCAGGAGGAAGATGGGGCAGTCTGCTTCCATAAAGATTTACCTCCTTGGAAACCCAGTGGGGGTAACTGTGAGTCGGAATCAACTCAATGGCAGTGGGTGGGTTGGGTTGCTTGTAAGGCAGATATCTTTTTAGCCTATTGTTTACAGCAGAGGAAGAGTAAATAAATGAGTTAGGAAGTGGGAAAAGATTGGGGATAGTGTACCCAGCATGAATCTGGGGAAAGAGAGAAATATGAATCATTAGGGATATGAGCCTTGGAAGGAAGATGGGGCAATCTACTTCTGTAGTGATACTGCCTTGGAAACCCAAGGAGGGGTCGCTATGAGTTGGGTCTGACTCAACAGCACATAACAACAGCAACAACAGGGATATGAACAAGCCTTCAATACTGTTCTTGCTTTTTATGCCTGAGACACTTGACTGCTAACCAGAAGGCTGGTGGTTCAAACCCACCAGCCACTCCTTGGAAGGAAGGTTGGACAATCTACCAACCTTGGAATGATACCACCTTGGAAACCCAAGCAGGGGTCGCTATGAGTCAAAGCCAACTCGATGGACATAACAACAATAACAACAATCTGCAATTGACAACATCTATACATAATTTAAAATTTTGACAAGAGTGTTTTCATGTGACTTTTTTTTTAATCTTCCTACAGAAAGATCACCCAAACCCAGGAAAGAGGTATCCTGAAACACGGCGAACTGCGTACTTGCCTGATAATGAGGAAGGGAGGGAGGTTTTGAGACTGCTTCGGAGGGCCTTTGATCAAAAGCTGATCTTCACAGTGGGGCAGTCTCGCTCTTCCGGAGCCTCAGATGTTATTACGTGGAATGATATCCACCACAAAACATGCCAGTTTGGGGGACCAGAAAGGTGAGAGAATCCTGAAATATGGTTGAGAAGAAGCCTGGTGGCACAGTGGTTAAAGCACTCAACTACTAACCAGAGGGTCAGAGGTTCACACTCACCAACTGCTCTGTGGGAGAAACATGAGACAGTCTGCTTCTGTAATGATTATGTCCTTGGAAACTCTATGGGGCTATTCTAATCTGTCCTTCCTGTAGGGTCAATGTGACAGCAGTGGGTTTTGGTTAAACAGAATTTAGAGATTGTGAAATATGGCACTTTAGGCTATGGCTATGACTTTATTTATAGCACTGGGATCCGGTACAGTGAAGTATTTTGAAAGATTCTAGTCTGGAATGATCACCTCAAAGGCTGTTAAGATTGGGTCCCCCTCATTGCTGTCTTCCCAACCACAAAATATCAGACAGTTATTAAATTTTGCATCAAAGGACAGGGAGCTTCAGAATCCTAGATGAATAGTATGATTTAATTTGGAATTTCATACTTATTTGAAAAATCTATCCTGAAACTAGGAGCCCTGGTAGTGCAGTAGTTAAGTGCTCAGCTGCTAACTGAAAAGTTGGTTTGAACCCATCAGCCGCTCCATGGGAGAAAGATGAGGCAGTCTGCTTCCGTAAAGATTATAGCCTTGCAAACCCTATGGGGCAGTTCTACTCTGTCCTCTTGGGTCACTTTGAGTTGGAGTAGACTCGATGGCAATGGATTTAGATCCTAGGAATGTTGTTGACTTTGCTTTTTTTAAAGATAATTCATTCTTCTACACTCACCCCCATCAGTACGTTGAGAACCTAAACTTCCTTGGCTAATAGTACTCTAGATAAAAGTCAGCATTAAGAGGACTGAGGTGTGTGAGCCAATCCAGTGGTTCTTTATGAAACTCACATCCTTGGTGTTCAAATAGGCATATCCTACTGTAGAATGGGATTGTTGTTGTCAGTTGTTGCTGAGTTGGCTCTGACTCATAGCGACCTTATGTGATGCAGAATAAAAAGTTGCCCATAAAATACAGTATGTGTAGTATAACTTTAGGAGAGTCACTCCTTACCATGTACTAGAAATAAAGTAAAAATCTTGGAAGCTAGATGCTGGGCAAACAGCTAGGGTCACTCACTAAATATATGACCAAGATCTGAAAATTTATAGTCATTGTGCTAACCAGAAGGCATGTGGTTCAGGCCCACCAGCCACTCCTCAGAAGGAAGACTAGGCAATCTACTTCTGTAGAGATACTCCATCAGAAACCCAAGGAGGAGTCACTATGAGTCAGATTCGACTTGATGGCAGTGAAGTTTGGTTTTTTGGTTTTGGTTTATAAGACACAGCCAACATCAATAGGCTAAAAAGATACCTGACTTATAAGCAACCCAGCCTACCCACTGCCATTGAGTTGATTCCAACTCACAGCGACCCCCACTGGGTTTCCAAGGAGGTAAATCTTTATGGAAGCAGATTGCACCATCTTCCTCCTGTGGAGCAGCTGGGGGATTACTTGTGAGCGGGTGCAGCCCTGAATGTTAAATCCTCAAGTGGCAAAGCTCTTCCACGCAGATTTTTTTTGGGGGGGGGGTTCTTTATTATTATGATGATGATTATGATTTGGATAAAAATTTACAGAGCAAATTCACTTTCCATACAGCAGTTCACATACACTTTGTCTCATGACATTGACAACAATTTACCACAACGCAACAGCTCCCCTCCCACTCCCTCCCGATAGTTACCTCTTCCCTGTGTCCATCCCTCCATGCACTCCAGCCCCCTGAGCTGTCTCCCTGTGCATAAGCAGCCCTTCTTTCTCCCATG